TTTACTTAGATTTCACGTGCGGGTTCTTGATGACCTCCATGGAAGTGATCATTTCCCCATCCTTGTTTCCTTTTTCTCTTTTCGCCCTTCCCTCTCTTTCCCTAGGTGGCAGTTTGCTAAGGCAGACTGGACCCTATTTACCCTCAGTGCTGCTCTCTCTGACCTCTCCCTTCTGCCTCTCTCTCGCGCTCTCCTCCTTTTTCATGACACTGTTTTCAACGCTGCCCTCCGCTCTATTCCTCGCTCTTCCTCTCGGGGTCCACGGAAGTGCGTTCCCTGGTGGAATGCAGACTGTGCTCGGGCTGTCCGCTGTAAGCGTGCAGCCTGGAAGAGGCACCGCCGTAGGCAGACGACCGATTCTTTTCTTTTCTTTCGGAAAGCGAGTGCGGTGGCCCGTAGGGCCATCCGTACGGCTAAACGTGAATGTTGGGCATCTTATGTCTCAACAATTACGTCCGAAACCCCTCTGGCCCAGATCTGGAAGCGTATCCGCAAGATAGCGGGTAAGTTCGTTCCCGATGTTTCACCGGTCCTTCACATCCATGATACTCTTGTGGCGGACCCGTTGCAGGTCGCTTCCGAACTGGGTTCCCACTTTTCTTCTGTTAGCTCTGGTCTTCATCTTCCCCAATCTTTCCTTCTTCGTAAACCTGTCCTTGAGTCTCGTCCTTTAGATTTCTGCACTCATCTTCAGCTTCCCTATAATGATCCCTTCTCTCTCTCTGAACTTCGTTCTGCCCTGGCCCTCTGCGGTTCTACGGCGGGCTCCGATGGTATTCATTATGAGATGCTTCGCCATCTCCCTACGAGCACGTCTCAGTATTTACTGAGTCTGTATAATCGGATCTGGGAGTCGTCGTCAGTCCCTGAGGACTGGCTCGATGCCGTTGTCCTCCCTGTTCGCAAACCGGGGTCTCTGGGTACTTCCCCTAAGGACTTTCGCCCTATTGCTCTCACAAGTTGTCTGCAAACTCTTTGAACGTATGGTTAACGTTCGTCTGATGTGGTTCCTGGAACACCAACACCTCCTCTCCCCTTCTCAATTTGGTTTCCGCAAGTGCCGCAGCACGACAGATGTCCTGGTGAACTTGGAGGTCTATATTCGTACTGCTTTTGCTGCGAAGACCTCCGTTGTTGCCGTCCTTTTTGCCCTGGAAAAGGCTTACGACACCACTTGGCGTTATCATATCCTATCTCAACTTCATTCTTTTGGCCTTCGTGGTCATCTCCCTCTCTTTCTCCGCAGCTTCCTCTCTCGTCGTTCCTTTCGGGTGCGCCTTGGTACCGCTCTCTCTCCCTCTTTTCAGCAATACGAAGGTGTGCCCCAGGGTAGTGTTCTGAGCACTACTCTTTTTCTGGTTGCCCTCAATGGTCTTCTTTCCTCTCTTCCTTCTGGTGTCTTCTCCGCTCTCTATGTCGATGATCTTACCCTTTGTTGTCAGGGTGATGATTCGCCTCTCCTTCAACGCCGGCTTCAACTTGCAATTGATGCCGTGTCGTCTTGGGCCACAGATCATGGCTTCAAGTTCTCTACTTCTAAGACGTGTGCCATGACTTTTACGCGGAAACGGGTTGTTCTTCGTCCCTCTTTGTCACTTTATGGTCATCCCCTTGAATACAAAGATTCCGCGAAGCTTTTGGGGTTATTCCTTGACACTCGTTTGTCTTGGTCTCCCCATATCTCTTACCTCCGTGTTGAGTGCTCTAAGGCCCTTACCCTCCTTCGGGTCTTGTCCCATACTTCTTGGGGGGTAGATAGGCGCACTCTCCTTGCTTTACATTCCACTCTCGTCCTGTCTAAGCTCGATTATGGTTGCCCTGCTTACTCGTCTGCTTCTCCTTCTACTCTTCGCCGTCTTGATGCTTTGCACCATACTGGGTTGCGCCTCAGTTCTGGTGCCTTTCGTTCGACTCCCATCCTTAGCTTGTATGTTGACACTGGCTTCCTGTCTCTCCAGGACCGCCGTGATCGCTACTGTCTTCGCTATCTTGCGCGGTCCTTGCAACATCCTTCCTCTCGCCTCTGTCGTGCTTTAACTTTTGCCCCTCCTGCGGTTCCTGTTCCTCTTCACCACCTCCCTCATTCTGTCCGGTTATCTCGCCTGCAGGATTCTCTTTCCGTTCGTATTTCTGATGTTTCTCCTCGTGTTGTTCCTTCTTTGCCCCCGTGGAGGGTCCCTCTTCCGCGGTTTTGTACATCCTTGACCCGTATCACTAAAGCTTTTACCCCTCCTACGGTTCTAAAACGCCTTTTCCTCGAGCACTTTTCTTCTCACTCCCGCTCCGTTTCTGTCTTCACCGATGGGTCTAAGTCAGCAGACGGTGTTGGCTACTCTGTTGTTTTTCCTGATCGCACTTATATGTGTCGCTTGCCTCCGGAGATTAGCATCTTTACAGCGGAACTTTATGCTATTCTCTATGCTCTTCGTCTCCTGCTTTCTCGTTGTCAGTCTTCCTTTGTAGTTGTTGATGACTCTCGTAGTGCCCTCATGGCTCTCGGGTCCTTTAATCCGGTTCATCCAGTAGTTGTCGAGATCCAGCATTGGCTGTTTCTCGTTCACAGTAAATTTAAGTCGGTTGAGTTTTGTTGGGTTCCCAGCCATATTGGTGTGTCTTTAAATGAACGTGCGGATGCTGCCGCCAAGGAAGCTGTCCGCTCTTGTCCCATCTCTCGTAAAGGCATTCCGTATTCCGACTTTTACCCGGTTATCCATTCCTCAGTCCTTACCCGTTGGCAGGCTTCTTGGTTGTCTGTTACTGGTAACAAGCTACGTACTCTTAAATGTTGTGTTTCCTCGTGGCGGTCCTCCTTCCACCGTAACCGGCGGTGGGAAACAGCTCTGGCGAGGTTGCGTATTGGCCATACTCGCTTGACCCATGGTCACTTGATGGAGCGCCGCCCTGCTCCTTATTGTCCTAGTTGCATTGTCCCTCTTACGGTCGTGCATGTCCTTCTTGAATGTCCTGACTTCCAGGACGAGCGTGTGTCTTGCTTTCCGACCGCCCCTCGCGGTCACCTGTCCCTCGATAGAATTCTTGGTGACTCGGATACTTTTGATATCGTTCGCCTTATGCGTTTTTGTTCTCGTATTGGCATTCTTGGTGATATTTAGCGCCCTCTGATTATTTTGCGTATTTGATGGTGCTACATAGCCTTCCCGGTTTGGTGCCTTCTTTTGATAATTACTTACTTTCAGTTGTATAGATGCCTGGGGACCATTCAGGCTTGGTTGCATATATATATATATATATATATATATATATATATATATATATATATATATATATATATAGAACACGTTGTACTGAACGGGGGGGGGGGGGAGAATAGCTTGAGCTACCTCATCCCTTTGTGTGTGTTTATACCTCAATAAACTTAATTCAGTTTTAACTATATTGCATTTGGAAGTGATCAGCATAAGGATTTGAGATGAAACGGGGGAAAGGAATGGTGCCCAACCACTTGAACGGTCGGGGATTGAACGCTGACCTGCATGAAGCGACACCATAATGTTATTAATGAACAATCTTCACTGGACTTAAGAATACTAGATAAATATGTGCAATATGGTGCACTTATTTGTTCATGTCCATTATTTTAAGTGTTTGACCATATGTGGATTTTTTGTAACTTTTTGTCCAGGAAGTGAAGGGTACATGATGAAGTTATTGAGCATGTGAGCACATTGCATGAAAGTGTATTTTTGGGTCAATGTTGTTTTCAATTGCAATTTCGATTGTGAAATTGAAATAATTTGGAATTCATTTCAATTTCACAGCTCTTCCTCTTGAGTCACAGGATATAAGGTACTTTTTGGATATATTTGTTACAATAACTTCAGTGAATCTTAATGAGAGATACTCTTTGTTCAAGTTTAATTAACAAATTAAAATGTCAATTATATGTGTGTAGTTCTTCAGAATGGCGCCAGAGGCTGGACTGCGTCGGCCCGGTGCTTACCATGACTATCAAGTAGGAAGCCAAATTGGTCTATCACTTCTAATAAATTATACGACAAAAGAAACTAATTAGTTATTAAAGAATTAACATTGTTGATTCAGTTTCATAAATAGATAAAACCTTAAACTCTAAAGGAGTGAATAATATACTATAGTTTCTGCTTGACTCCGGAGGTGGACGCCATGACACGTTCTGGTCGGCTACATGGCCACGGACTCCAGCACACCTTCACTACGCAGCCAAAGTTTGACTATTTTGCTGCCGTCGTCACGACTACTAAATCAAGTCGTGCCCGCCTCACACGTCAACTACAGACAAGTGATACCCCTGCTTCAGTAGCCTAGCACAAGTGTTGTGGCCACAATGTGTGTGTGTGGAGGGAGGCACAGAGAGGTAGTTGACTGTGGATACGAAGCATGATAACACCAGTATCTCACGTAAGAACATACAATTAATATTCTCATTAACATTTGTGTGGGATTCTTTGAATAAATGTAATATAAATCCAATTTAATAGTGTGTTTGCCGGCAAGGAAGAGTTGACTCTAGTTCTCCTGCCTCGCGGACGAAGTCGGCGACCACATGTTGGGGGCCAGCCCTCTCCATTGACCACATATTGGGGGCCGCCCCTCTCCGTCGACCACATGTTGGGGGCCAGCCTTCTCCGTCGACCACATGTTGGGGGCCGCCTCTCTCCGTCGACCACATGGTGGGGGCCAGCTCTCTCCGTCGACCACATGTTGGGGGCCGCCCCTCTCCGTCGACCACATGTTGGGGCCGGCCCTCTGTGTCGACCACATGTTGGGGCCGGCCCTCTGCGTCGACCACATGTTGGGGCCGGCCCTCTGCGTCGACCACATGTTGGGGCCGGCCCTCTGCGTCGACCACATGTTGGGGGCCGCCCTCTCCATCGACCACATGTTGGGGGCCGCCCTCTCCATTGACCACATGTTGGGGGCCGGCCTCTCCGTCGACCACATGTTGGGGGCCGGCCTCTCCGTCGACCACATGTTGGGGGCCGCCCCTCTCCATCGACCATATGTTGGGGGCCGCCCTCTCCATCGACCACATGTTGGGGCCGCCCCTCTCTGTCGACCACATGTTGGGGGCCGCCCTCTCCGTCGACCACATGTTGGGGCCGCCCCTCTCCGTCGACTACATGTTGGGGCAGCCCCTCTCCGTCGACCACATGTTGGGGCAGCCCCTCTCCGTCGACCACATGTTGGGGGCCGCCTCTCTCCGTCGACCACATGTTGGGGGCCGCCCTCTCCATCGACCATATGTTGGGGGCCGCCCTCTCCGTCGACCACATGCTGGGGGCCGTCCCTCTCCGTCGACCACATGTTGGGGGCAGCCCTCTCCGTCGACCATATGTTGGGGGCCGGCCCTCTCCATCGACCATATGTTGGGCCAGCCCTCTCCGTCGACCACATGTTGGGGGCCGGCCCTCTCCGTCGACCACATGTTGGGGGCCGCCCCTCTCCATCGACCACATGCTGGGGCCGCCCTCTCCGTCGACCACATGTTGGGGCCGCCCCTCTCCGTCGACCACATGTTGGGGCCGCCCCTCTCCGTCGACCACATGTTGGGGCCGCCCCTCTCCGTCGACCACATGTTGGGGGCCGCCGCTCTCCATCGATCACATGTTGGGGCCGCCCTCTCCGTCGACCACATGTTGGGGCTGCCCCTCTCCGTCGACCACATGTTGGGGGCCGCCGCTCTCCATCGACCACATGTTGGGGCCGCCCTCTCCGTCGACCACATGTTGGGGGCCGGCCCTCTCCGGCGACCACATGTTGGGGGCCAGCCCTCTCCGGCGACCACATGTTGGGGGCCGGCCCTCTCCGTCGACCACATGTTGGGGCCGCCCTCTCCGTCGACCACATGTTGGGGCCGCCCTCTCCATCGACCACATGTTGGGGCCGCCCCTCTCCGTCGACCACATGTTGGGGGCCGGCCCTCTCCGGCGACCACATGTTGGGAGCCGGCCCTCTCCATCGACCACATGTTGGGGCCGCCCCTCTCCGTCGACCACATGTTGGGGCCGCCCTCTCCGTCGACCACATGTTGGGGGCCAGCCCTCTCCGGCGACCACATGTTGGGGGCCGGCCCTCTCCGTCGACCACATGTTGGGGCCGCCCTCTCCGTCGACCACATGTTGGGGCCGCCCTCTCCGTCGACCACATGTTGGGGGCCGGCCCTCTCCGTCGACCACATGTTGGGGCCGCCCCTCTCCCTCGACCAGCTAAGCGCTCGAGTGCATACATTACTAAATACATTTACTGTAATATAGGTACTCGAGTGGTTAAACTTATTTATTAATTATCAGAGTAATCAAAATATCTAAATGAAATCTGGGCCTAAGCTCAACGACAGGCTGGACGGTCTAAGTTTTAATTAATTAATGAAATTAAACTAACCCGAGGTTCGTGTTGGAGCTAAATAAAATCGTATTGTTTTATACAGTCCATTGTCTACCGAACAACAAACAAAACTTTCCCACAGTACTGGGGCCAGATTCACGAAACAGTTACGCCAGCACTTATGAACCAGTACATCTTTTCTCAATCTTTGGTGGTTTTGTTTACAATTATTAAACAGTTAATGAGCTCCGAAGCACCAGGAGGCTGTTTATAACAATAACAACAGTTAATCGGGAAGTTTTCATGCCTGTAAACTGTTCAATAAATGTAACCAAAGCCGTCAAAGGTTGAGGAGAGATGTACACGTTCGTAAGTGCTTGCGTAACTGCTTCATGAATCTGGCCCCCTGGCTAATATTTTTGTGACATATAATTCCACCCATTCTCCTGTTTTAGACAGTAGTTGTGTAACTATGTGCACTATAGTACAAATATTGCCATTCTAAGCAATTAGAACTTTGTACTAGTCACTTATAGAGTCGGGAAACAAATGAAGTTAAAAAGCAAAGTTACATATTCCTAGTATAGCACACACATGTACTATATTAGGCCTCAGATATCGTGTATTAGGCATCAGATATCGTGTATTAGGCCTCAGATATCGTGTATTAGGCCTCAGATATCGTGCATTAGGCCTCAGATATCGTGTATTAGGCCTCAGATATCGTGCATTAGGCCTCAGATATCGTGCATTAGGCCTCAGATATCGTGTATTAGGCCTCAGATATCGTGTATTAGGCCTCAGATATCGTGTATTAGGCCTCAGATATCGTGTATTAGGCCTCAGATAACGTGTATTAGGCCTCAGATATCGTGTATTAGGCCTCAGATATCGTGTATTAGGCCTCAGATATCGTGTATTAGGCCTCAGATAACGTGTATTAGGCCTCAGATAACGTGTATTAGGCCTCAGATATCGTGTATTAGGCCTCAGATATCGTGTATTAGGCCTCAGATATCGTGTATTAGGCCTCAGATAACGTGTATTAGGCCTCAGATATCGTGCATTAGGCCTCAGATATCGCGTATTAGGCCTCAGATATCGTGTATTAGGCCTCAGATAACGTGTATTAGGCCTCAGATATCGTGTATTAGGCCTCAGATAACGTGTATTAGGCCTCAGATATCGTGTATTAGGCCTAGGAAAGTTAGATTAGTTTAGTTTATTTTCTAGTTATGTTGCAAAGACAGTTTTCCGGTTTGTTTCTCAATAGTGCCGATTTCTACTTAATAAATGTGTTGTACGTCGGTTATATGTACTATGGTCCTCATCGGTACTATAAGTACTACCACAACAGGAGGAGGGGCTGAATAATTGGCCTGTTCAAGCAAGATGACGTTGGCTGAGCCTTAGATAAATATTAAAAGAAAAAGAAATATTTGGCATGACTATTTTTGTTCTATGTGTCTAAGGTCAACCCGTTCTCACAAATTTAATAAGTCAATATTGACTTATTAAATATGTGCATAGGTGACATACTTAACATAATAGATACCCTTAAAAAGATTCATAGAAAACACCGACCTTACCTAACCTTGTTAGTATCTTAAGATAAGCATCTTATTGCTTCATAATTACAATTATTACTTAACCTATACCTATAATAGGTTAAGTAACAATTGTAATTACGAAGCAATAAGATGCTTATCTTAAGATACTAACAAGGTTAGGTAAGGTCGGTGTTTTCTATGAATCTTTTTAAGGGTATCTATTATGTTTAGTATATCACCTATGCACGTAGTTAATAAGTCAATATTGACTTTACGAATTTGCGAGAACGGGTTGCTAAGGTTCACAGCTCTCCGTGTGAGGAAGTAACACGAACGAGCAATACAAGACCCGAACTATTTCACGAGTGCTTAAGGATATGAGCCAAGTAACTCATATTCACGTTGTTTTGCATCGTTTGTAAATTACGAAATGTTGCTTATTCACGACGACGACATTGGAACAGGACGGGGATCGAACCAGTGTCACCCCTGGTGACACTGGGGGACAGCAGGAGGGGGACTAATTACTCCCCAGTAATTAGGGGAGCCGGTCGGCCGAGCGGACAGCACGCTGGACTTGTGGTCCTGGGTTCGATCCCAGGCGCCGGCGAGAAACAATGGGCAGAGTTTCTTTCACCCTATGCCCCTGTTACCTAGCAGTAAATAGGTACCTGGGTGTTAGTCAGCCGTCACGGGCTGCTTCCTGGGGGTGGAGGCCTGGTCGAGGACCGGGCCGCGGGGACACTAAAGCCCCGAAATCATCTCAAGATAACCCCAGGCACGCGCCTTGGTGGCGAGCTCCATTCCCCACACGAGTGCATGTGGATAGTTTGTACAAAACTTGGATTGGCTACCAACTCGGTGCCTCCAGACTCCTGGTGGACTCTGGTCGATCAAAGGTTTAATTACTTACAGCATCGTGCTCCTGTGGGTTAAGGCGTGTCTAGGAGGACCCAAGACGGTGGTTCGATAGGAAATATTATGTAATCCTGTATCCAAGTCGTTTATAAATATGATAAACATGAGAGGTCCCAGGACAGAGCCCCTGAGGCACTCCACTTACATCACCTTCCACTGCTACTTATATCCGTGTACTTCTAAAGTTTCTACTTTACAATTTTTTTACTTGTTTACATTAGAAGTATAAATCTTAATCTCTACTTTGTTGGTTGTTTTAAATAACTGTTATTGTTGTTATATACTATGTTATTGTTATGTTATTATATATTATTATTGTTATGTTATATACTATGTTGTTTACAAAGTTTTTACTTGTTTACATTAGAAGTACAAATCTTAATCTCTACTTTTTTGGTTGTTTTAAATAACTATGCCTTATTCAGATAAAAGATCCCCCACCCCCGTTGTGGCTCTAACACTGTAACAAGTCTGTAGTGAGACACAGTATCAAAACCTTTATTAAAGTCAAAATACAAGAGTCGCAATTTTTTCTGCCGGCGACTGCTTCAAATATCCTGGAAAGTAATGCGAGTAAATTAGTTAAACTTGTGTTAAAAAAAAAAAAAAAGATATAGTTGAATAGGTGATGCGATTAACTATTCGAGCAGTTTTTACATAATTGCGACCCCTCTACATCGACTCGAATGTTCTATTATGTATTCAAGACACGGGCTCACTGAGCGCTTCTTTACAGTCTTCAAGAGTTGTGGTAAATACTTCCTTTGGACTTCGGGACTTGTGCAGGGGCCTTAATTTGTCAAATTTTGCTACAAAAAATCAATTTTTTCTGCCCGAAACGCTTTGCGTAATAGTGGCTTTAGGCATTGTATGTACTAGCTCCTATCTATAAAGCCAACAAACTTTGTAAAATCTCTTTATGTATGTACCTTACCTAAATAAAAATTATTATTATTATTATTATAATTCTTTGGTCACCACTCGATTAGTAAAATTGACATTCTTGCTCCTCCATCATAGTAGTGTCAAGTTCTTCTCTAGTAAACACATTCAAAATACTTATATATAATTCCTACCAGTTTGTTGTCCTAATTTCAATGAATTAGACTTCTCATTAATCTTTGTTTCATATATCTGAAAACCTCGGAGATTTGTCCTTGTCTATCCTGCCAGTCCTACTTTATAATTTATTTTATATTTTCTTACTAGAGAGGGAAGGGGGAGGGGACCCGGCAACGTCTGGGTCTTTCCCCACCCTTCCCCCCCCCTCGCTCTCCTCCTCCCCTCTTCCTTCGCTCTCCCAGGCTCTTCCTCCCTCATCTCTGTTCCCTATCCCCCCCCTCTTCTCTTTCCCTCGCCACCTTTCTCCCCTATCATCTCCCCTCTATTTCTCCCTCTCGCTCACTTCTCTCCACTCCCCTCACCTCCCTCTCTCACCATTCCCTTCTCCACCTTTCTTCCCCTCTCTCCTTTCCAACTATGCCCCTTTTCTCCCGTTTGTTACTAGCCGAATGTACTATTTTGTGTGTAGAGTTGATTATGTAGTAATTTGTCGAGGGGGAGGGAAATATCAGCGGAAAGCACCCAGCCATCACGACTATATAGCCCTTGGAAGGGGTCAGGATAAGGGCTTCGGATGGGACGGGGGAAAGGAATGGTACCCAACTACTTGTGGACGGTCGGGGATTGAACGCCGACCTGCATGAAGCGAGACCGTCGCTTTACCGTCCATCCTAAGTGGTGAGAGAAAGAGAGAGAGAGAGACGGACGGACAGACAGACAGACAGACAGACACACACACACACAAAACAAGGAGAGTAGATATCTGTTCATGGAGGCGGTAGTCAGCTAGCTGGCTGCTGGCAGACGACAGGTCCGCGATATCCCTCCGCCCACCAAAGTAGTACCTAGAAATAATATATGATTATGGATACATATATAATATATACAAACTATAATCAGGGATTATTCAGTGATGATTGGACATCCGGTATTAAGGGGCAGGAAGTCAGAGGGCGTCCTTGGTGATTAAACCAGGAAAATGGCGGCCGAGGAAAGTGGTGTTGGACCGAAACTTAAGTTTTTATCGAGTGTCACCCCTCCAGACAGTCAGATAAGCCACAGTTCATATTTATTTAACTTGCAGGATATCAGTGTTGTTTGAGGTGACTACGGAGTAGGTGTATACAGAGTGAGTCCGGATTTCAGAGTATATTTGCACGTGCCTGTTGAAAATGGTCTTGCGTGGATAAACATTGAATTTATGTATGCTCGAACTAAAGTGTGGGCGGTGATCTTTGTATAAGTAAAGTGGATATCTTGCCTATTTTGATCTGACTGATTTTTCCATATATATATATATATATTTATATATATATATATATATATATATATATATATATATATATATATATATATATATATATATATATATATATATATAAACTGAAAACTCACACCCC